AGATGTTAGGTCCCTGGGTGCTGGTCGCAGGGATTGGTTCTCCAAGCCACAGGGGTTGGGCCTGGGCCCAGGGACCATGTCGTAAGTGTGGATTCCTGGTCCTTGGCACTCGGGCGTGGCCCAGCACCTACAAGCTCCTGGACTGCCTCTGGCTCCAATGATCGGGCGTCTGGGCACACAGCGTGGCGCCTGGAAACCCACCAGTGCATGTCCCAGGTTCCCAGCCACCGGCTCTTGTTTGGGTGTATCTTGCTGGGGCCGTTTGAGCCTCAGACTGGAGTCCCGGAAGGTTCCCCCACACAGGCACGGAGTGGGGCCGGTACCAACAGATGGACGCGGCGGTGGCGCCCACTCAGCCAGAAGCATCACAAATGTCTTGTCACAAGAGCAAGCAAGAGAAGGCCTCCTCCTAGGTGCACCGCGTCGGTGTAGACTAAGGACTGGGTCCGACAACTTCCCTGCACTCCTTGCAGCTGTAGCGTCTGCTATGGGCAAATGTGGACAAACCGGGGCTGTAGAGGGACGGCAGCGCTGCTGAAAACCTTGCCACTGAGGCCGTGGCAAAAAACGGGTGGCCCAGCCTGGATGCTGGAACGGGTCCGCCCACAGACCTGCTAGAGCAGAGGACGGGCCACCGGCAGGACCCTCCGCAAGCCGAATGAGTGACCTTCTTGCGTCACTAGTCCCCTCATCCATCAGATTCTGCTCTTGTTTCATGACGAGCCCTCCTCCTTGTCTCTTGTGGAGAATGAGGAAGAAGAATGTACTCTCTCAATCTCTAGACATTCCCGTGCCCCGAAAGGCTGACAGTCATCTTGAAGCCAAGGGACTGGAGACTGTGATCACAAGGTCTCTTCCACCTCATGTCTGAGCCGGCTGGAAAGGCGCAGGCTGAAAGGAGCCCTTCTCTGTCTGGGGGATGGAGACACGCTCTCCACTGCTCCTCTTCTTGCTCCAGCTTGCTGACCAGATCTGGTTTATGCAGAAAGGCTCTGGCCACAGACTCTAGGTTCCTGAAGGTCTCTGACATGACATCCTGGTAAAGGACCCTCTGACTGGCACCGAGACATTCCCACTCTTCCTGCGAGAAATTCACTGCCACATCCTCAAAGGTGACTGGCTTCTGCACCCACGCTTCCCACCAGCTCTCTGTTTTCATGGCTGCCTTCAGGGCAGTTGCCACCTCGCCCACCCACGGGAACGTCTTCTGCACGGATTCCATCGGCTTCAGCCAGTCAAGCACTTTCTCTTCCCTGGTGCCTCCTTCTTCCTTTACCCACTCCTGGGTTGGCCCCCAGGGCTGGCTGGTCTCCTTCCTGGAGCTATCCACCTCCCCAGAATCAAGCAGAGGGGGATGCCCCACAGGGGGCCCAGGGTTTGATGTGGCTTCCTGTGACAAATGTGTCTGCTCCAAGGGGCTGCCTTCCTTTTTGGTTGTGCTGTCCAGATTCTCCTCTTCCACGGCTGAGGACACCTTTGGTTCCCTCGAGTGTCTGGGCACAGAGTTGAGGGCCCTGCTCACCCTTGCCCAACTGCCATTATCCAGCAACGCCAGGCTGGGGGGAGGGGTGTGTCTGGCTTCTGTTCCACCCTGCTTCTAGAAACCTGACGCCTTCCCAGGACCCAGACGCAGCCAAGGGCGCAGAGCTCCTCGGGACCAGCAGCTTGAGCGCTCCGCCTTGCGCGGCCCCGGGCGCGGGCGACCCGCGCGGGCTGGGGTCCTCCTCTCCCGCCCCACGCACCCAAGCTCGCCCGCCCCCATTTTGTTTTGTTGCCTTAAATTGCTTTGATATGCGGGGTCTTCTTTGTTCCATATGAAGCTGTAAAATTATTTTTTCTATATCTGTGAAGTAATGCTGATGGGATTTAATAGGTATTGCAATGAATCTGTAGATCAGTTTGGGTAGTATAGACATTTGATATGTTGAGTCGCGATCCAACGAGCATGAATGTTCCATCTGTTTTACGATCCTCGTGCTAGTTTCCTTCTCAGTGGTTTCATAGTTCTCCCTGTAGAGGTCTTTTACCTCCTTGGTTAAGTATATTCCTAGGTATTTAATTTCTTTGTTGCTATTATGAAGGGAATTGAGTCTTGATTGGTTCTCAATTGATTGTTTGTTGGCGTATATGAATGCCTCTGATTCGGTGTATTGATTTTGTATCCTGAGACTTTACTAAATTCATTGTATGCAGTTCCAGGAGTTTCTTGATTGAATCTTTGGGGTTTCTAGATATAATAATCATATCATCCAGCAAACAGTGAAATTTGATCTCTTCTGCCCCTATTTGGATACCTGTTAATTCCACTTTCCCGTCCTGATTGCTGTAGCCAGGACTTCCAGCACTGATGTTGAGACAGAAGTGGAGATAGTGGGCACCTTGTCTGGTTCCAGTTCTAAGTTGGAATGCTTTCAATGTTTCCCCATTCAGTATGATGTTGGCTATTAGGTCCGTCATATATTTGTATCATTTGTTAGTTATGTTCCTTCTATGCCTATTTTCTTAAGGTTCGTACATTGAAAGGGTGTTGAATTTTGTCAAAAGCTTTTTCTGCATCTATTGAAAGAATATGTGGTGTTTGGTTTTTGGCTTCTGTTTATGTGGTGAATTGCATTATAGATTTACGTATGTTGAACATCCCTGCTCCCTGGGATGAGCCACTTGGTCGTGATGGATTATTTTTTTTTGATAAGCGTCTGGATTCGGTTAGCTAAGATTTTGTTGAAAATTTTTGCATCTATATTCATTAGGGATATTGGTTTTGTAAGTTTTCTTTTTTGTGCATCCTTTCCATGTTTTGGTATCAGAGTAATATTTGCTTCAATGAAAAGCGTGTCAGGGAGGTTCCGTCTTTCTGATGTTTGAATAGTCTGCAAGAAGGGTACTAGTTCTTCTTTGTAAGTGTGTAAAATTCGGTGTGAAACCATCTGGACCGGGACTTTTCCTTTTATTAGGGAAGATTTTTAATTTGCTGTTTCTATTTCAGCTCTTGAGATTGGTCGTTCAAGCGGAATCTATTTCTTCTGATGAGCTGGGAAGGACTGTGAGTTTCTAGAAATTTGTCATTTACTCAACATTTTCGCAGTTTGGTGTGCATAAAGATTTTTGTAGTATTCATAAAATTCATATCTTGTATCTATTTGGGATCAGTTGTGATATCTCCTTTTTTGTTCTGATGGAGCTTATTATGAGATTTCTAATTTCTGCTTTTCATGTTAGCTTAGCCAATGGCATGTTTTTTTGTTCATTTCTCCAAGAACCAACTTTTGTTTTATAATCTCCTGAAATGAGCTTTCCTGTTTTCAATTTCGTTTAGTTTCTGATTTGATCTTATACGTGATTTCACTTCTTTTCTGCTGGGTTTGGGCATGGTCTGTTCTTCTTGTTTCAGCTCTTTGAGTCGTTTCATTAGATTGTCTATTTGTTGAATCTTTTTGACTTTGGCATTTATGGAGATAAACTTTCCTCTCAGAACTGCTTTAGCTGGTCCCAGAGATTTGAAATTG